AATTTGACCACACGCAGCAATCGCCTTTAAAATATCCAGCTAAAATGAGTATTTGTCGTGTGACCCGTAAATTGCAAGGAAAGCACACATATATCAACATTATAAAAACATATTGCCACTACCTCTCTGTTTCTCTCAATGTCGCCCTATACTTGGCTCTTTAACCGCACAATTTATGGCAAGGAAATGAAACATAAACAAGTAGGGGAAGTTGGCCATAAGGAGGCGAATTTTTGATTCACTTATGGGGAAAACAACAAACACCTTTCTTTTACAATATAAGTAATTAATAAAATACTTAACATATATGTACATATATAATATTAAGACAATTTATATTTATCAAATAAATTATTAACAAATATTTAGAAATGACTTTATAAAAAATAATATTACGAATATTGAGAAGAAAGAAAAAAATTAAAAATTAATGTTGTGTTCTATGATTTATTTGGTTGTGTGGGATATTGGGATATATCTTTAATTTGTGTTTTTATCTCCAATCACATTTTTTAATCAACATAATTTGCCTTCATTCAGTTTGAATCAATTAAACCGAGCCTTTGGGCAACCGCTTCGCAATACATGACTAATTTATGCCAGTTCACACCATAACCCGGTAATTAATGGTATGATTCATGGGCCAGCAACTCGCCAAAGTCGGATGAAGGCGGGTAACCCGCTTGTGCGAAGAGCATTGGCCAACAGCTAGAAGCAAAAGCGTGTTAGCCACGCTGGAGGAAAAGCGAGTGAAGATTGCAATGAAGTCGCTACCTGGGTGGAGTTTTATTGCAGTCAGTGCCACACAACGCCACGCCGCCCACCGCCATCCGTGGAAAACCAGGGGAAAACCCCCATTACCCCCCCTTGATAATGGCAAGAAAAACCGCAGAAAATTGCTGTACAACGGGAGAAAAGCCAAGCCAAGTTAAGCTAAGCTCGTGTAGATGAAACTGGCTTTTTTCCACAATGAGATTTATTTATCGTGATTGTGCGCTTAATTGAAAATTGTTTGCGAGCAGCTAGACTCTCGGAAGGAGCGGGAAAATCGAGATTGGGGGGACCACCGCCTGGGATTCTTGGGCGCAACAGGAGTCGCTCCTTTGGACGCGAACATCTATCACAATGACCCAACTTGAGTGAGTTTGTAGCCCTGCCTAACGGTATTTTTAACACACATTTATTGGCACACATTTTAAGGGACTGGATACCAGATCCCTTGGATCCCAAAAACCCTCCTCCGTCCTTCCATCCCTCATTTACTTAGACAATTTGTCAACGACATGGCAATGATACAGCACAAGAAAAGCGACAGCGGGAAAACTGTAGCCAACTGTAGCAAAATGAAAATGTCAGCGGCAGTAGCAAAAACAAAAACAACAAGAGGAGCTGCCCCCCAATCCATCGAAATAGTTAAGTGGATACGAGCCCAGTGAATGGAATCCATCAACCGCCCATGGTGCCGCATGGCATCCAACTGGCAGCCAACCGAAGAAGCCTTTTCAATCACATTACCGATTGCCGAGTGGCGAGTGAAAAGTGAACTCCTCCTCCGGGGCATATGGTTTGGGCTCTGGAAACCCAGGGAGCTACTTAGCATCCCGAATGGAATCGCAGAACCTTCGCAAATTGCGCCCATCGATAAAGTTGAACATTTTAGGAGGACCAAAGAAAATTGCAGAAGGTCTTTTCATAACTTATTATTAAGGTATTTGGAAAAACTAATGGAGAAGTTATATACAAAATGGGTATACAAAATATGTTATTTTATAATTGTAATACAAAGGTTTCAAACAATATTTAATTTGGGAACAGAATATGTCAGTGAATAAAACCGACAATGTAAAGTGTCTTAAAAAATAAAATAAAAGGAACTTATGTTTTAGGTTTCTTAAAGATGTCTCAAGGTTTCTATGGCAATTGACTTATTATTTTAATTGAATATTACTTAATTTTATTACTATTTTCGTTCTATTTAAATAGCTTTTAATTTAAATTTCTCCCCTTTATTATCTTCATCTAATGCAAAATAAATACATAATTCCCAATTAAGAAAACGGGAAGAGAGCATATGTTTTCAGTCACGCAACATGGAATCAGCGCCGCCGAAATAAGCAATGGTATTACATAGATCACAGCCACACACACTCACACACACCCCGCCAAGCACCCATCGCCACCCCATTTGGAATTAGCTCTCGCTTTCTCCGCTGGCGGTCCAGGAAAATTCCACGAGCAGCAAGAACGGAGAATGGAGAGTACTTTGCAGGATAAGCGCCCCGTGGCATCCTCGAACAGCCCACCCACCCGTTGTCGAATTGATTTTGTTATGTGAAGTGCAACCCCCTTCTGAAAACATAAGCACCCACATACCAAATCCCCAACCATCCGAATTATTCCACTTCTGCTTTTGACTTGTTGCGCTTTCCATTTGATTGCCCGGCCGCAAGCTTGAGTTTATGATATGAAAATCAATTTGCTGCTTTACCACAATTAGAGCCAAGATTTTGGCCCGATGCAGCGGCCAGGCTATCGAGTAAATCCGCCGTAAAAAATGGCCAGGAAAACGAGCCAATAAGAAAATCTTTATGGGCGAGGGCGTGTCCACTACCAAAAGGCAGTTGAAAGGAGCTGTTAAAACTGAAGGCAAAACATGATGAATTCGCACAGTGGGTCGAAAGGGGTTTAAAATATAATAACAAAGAAAGTGATTGGAAAAATCAATTTATTGAGTATGGCGTTGGTCAAAATATCAGTAAAAATTACAAAAAAGGGAAATATTTCCTCGGTTTTTAGTTGTAAAATAAATAATATGTAATATAATAATGAATAAAAGTTATAGGAATAAGTACATAGTTCTTAGTTTCAGACGAAAAATGTTAGGCACTAATATATTTTGCATCTCTTGTCCATTATTTTTAATTTGTTACTTTACTTTTTTAATAAATAACTGAATATCAGTTGCTGGTTTTTATATAGTATACTTTCATGGAGAAATTCATTTTTTTTTTACCCCACTGTGCTTGAACCCAAAAGCGTAAGCAATAAAACGTGTGAATTTTATGAGCTCGCTGAAATTTAAATGGGTCTCCAATTTAATGACGAATTCTGCAATGAATGCGTGAAAGAGAGGGAGAATAGCAAAAAGGTGAACAGAGAGGAAATAAGGTTTTGTAAAAATTTCAGTGAGGAACATTCTCCGTTTGCTGTGTTTTTTATATTTTCCGGTTTTTACCTTTCCCCTCCGTTGAAACAGTTAACATCCCCTCCTTCTCCACCCCTCTTCGCCCTTAACCCTTAACGGGTGTCGTCTGCTTGCTGCTCGCTGCTTGCGTCAATTACTTAATTTTAATGGCCTTTATTATGCATACACAAACACATACGCGGTCGCGGAGGAGCTCACATGAATATGCACACAGATTGGAAAGTGTAAAACACTCACATTTACAAGCTCATAAACAATCCCTGCAACGTTGTTGGCCATTAAAAAAACAGTCAACACAACTCGAGTTGAGGCCACAAGTCGATAAGCCGAGGAGTATGGGAGAAACGCGGGGGGAAGGTTTTCTGTGGGTGGTAGGATGCTGGGAAAATATTCAAGGTTCTGCAGGTGGTGAACCAAAGATTGGAGGTGTCTTTCATAAACATTCCTTACGCACACACACACACACACTCACATGCAAAAAAAAAAATACAATATACATTTTTATGGTAGGGATTAACAATGCAAAGTAATACTGGTGCTTATTTTATGGGTGGTAATTATCAAATATATTTATTAAGCTGTTAAAACCCAAGATACCAAATCTTTATAAAAACTTTTGATTTTAAAATGATATCATTTTGAATTGTGTAGGTTTTTTGGTATGTGGTAAACTTTTTTAACGGTAATGTTTTTCTCCAGTTTTAAGTGTGTACATTGAATTATTCTTTGCCTATGGTTTCTTTTCAAATCAATCTTATTAGACAATCTAGTTCCGTTTTGATGTGCTCTCCAGACCTGCCACAACATAAAAAACTTTTTCAAAAACGAAGTAGAACTTACCTGAATCTAATTTAATTCCCATTAGCAATATCTCTTCCAAGAGTTTTTAATTATTTTAAAGGAATCCATTGACGCCTTGTGATTGCACTCCAACATACAGATTGTAAGAAATTTGTTTGTATATATTCCACTTGTTGCCAACTGCTCACGCGTGTGTGTATGTGTGCTTTCCTTCTTTTTTTCTTTACATTTTTGTTTTTTTTTTTTTTTTGTTTATAACGCGTCTGCCGACGAGACGCCCCAGCAACAAATAAACAAAAGCCGAAGGCGACGACAGCGGCAACAACAACGAAAACAACAACAACTTTGGCGACAGCGACGCAGGTGTCGCAGACGTGTGACGTTGTTGCTGCAATTTATTATTGTTTTTGTATGCTGCGAGTTATCAGAAAACGAAGACACCAACACAAACGCAAAAGTCACGTCACTCACACTTACGCACAAAACCGTAAAATTATTTCAGTCACAAGAAACAAACAATTTGTTTATAATTTTAATGCTTTCATTCAACGGTTTAAATTGGGTAGCAGAACTTTAACATAATCTAAGCTGAATTGCTGGCAGGCCAGGTAACACAGTAAATAAAACTGACAAAGTTGAAACAACACAACAGTTAACAATTTCGATTTGTTATAAAAAAGCGTAAAGATTTTTAAGGTCGGCAAAAAACTGAAAGGTGTATACGGATATTAACCAGCACTGGGCGATCAGCTGATTACTGTTGGCGGATAACAGTTGCTTAACAGTTGTGTGTGGGTAGGAGTTGCCAGCAGTAATTAACATCAAAAAAAAAAGCTTAAATAATTTGCTAGAAATTTCATAAATATACTTCAATCCAATGTATTAAATATTTGTTAAAATTTTTTTTAAATGTTTAAAATTCCTTATCATTCTTTTTCCCACCAGTTGACAGCTCCAGCGCAACAGCTGTTTGATGTAGCCACTACCCAACACTGCCCCACATGCTATTAGAATTTTTTGTTGCCTTTTGCGGCTGATTTGTCACTGCCGGATTATCTTGCAAGTTAAACCCTCCATATATGAAATATAAACTAAGTCTTAAGAAGCCATGAGTGCCAGCGAGGAATTCCAGAGCTGGCTCAACGAGCAGCTCCGAAAACTGAACATGGACGAGAACGTATTCGGCTCGTATATCGTTGGCATTTTGGAAGGCGACGAAACCACAGAGGAAAAAACCGAGGGACTCGAAGGAATCCTCAGCGAAACCGGGGTAAGTTGTTGATAATTATAGAACTCACTTCTAAACCAATAAATCTTCACCTTGCAGTCTGCAAATATCGATGAACTGGTGGCCACCATTCTCCAGAAATGGTTACAAAGTCATCCCAGCGCCGACGATCCGCCAAAAAAAGGCTTGGACATCGATGTGAATGCCCAGTTGGCAAAATTACTGGAGCAACAAAAGCTGCAACCCGCCGTTAACAAAGAGCGTGAATACACGGAGGAGGAGCGCCGCATTAAGCAGCAGATTCTTGCTCAGTATTCCCAGGTTATTGTCTGAAATTTCCATTTCAACATAGGGAATTTTAAAATTCTTCTGGTCAAGACAGAATAATCTGCCTCGAATATTACTTTTGGCTCTAATGATAACTAAACTTTATAGGTTACCATTGAATACTTATTATTAGGATATGACTTTAAAGTCGAAATCTGTAGAAAATTTCGATTTAATTTCTAGCTTTATTCTGTTTTTTAAATTATTTTTCTTGTGAATCTCTTTGCTTACTATTAACGTTTTATTAATATTTTTCTTAAGAAAATGAAAAGAAAAGAATTTGATTATCTGATTAACATATAATAACATTTTTGTGCAATGTTTTCATTACGAATATACGAAATATACTCTTAGTTTGACTATCGGAAAAATCCCAGCTCATCCAGTTTGTACAGCATTTTGTTGATTCCGAAATTATTTTATTGCTCATATTATTTTTGATTGCCATTTTAACATAATAAATTCGTAGACGCTTCTTTCTGATTTGGTTTAAACCAGATTAGGTTATATGATAATTTTAAGCTAGATTTTTATACCCTTGCAGAGCTAAATTATGTATCAAATTCTTTAAAACCTGTTAAACCTCAATTACTCATCATAAATCTTTCCACAGACTGCTGTTGTGAACCAGGACGAAGACGATTCTCAGCCGGAAAGCGACGATGATGCCGGACTCCTCGAAAAGAACACTAACAAATCCGATGTTCAGGCTCTTGCTAAAGAAAAGCGAGAGCAGGCTCGAATGGACAGCGCGGCCAAAAAGCAAAAGGACAAAGAGGATCGCGAGAAGCAGAAGCAACTTCGCGAGGAAAAGAAGGAAAAGCGCAAGACCGTCAAAGGCGAAAGGCGTCGGTAACCGTCCCCAAGTGCAAATTCGTAGTCTCTTCCTATACAAAGCGATTTATACAACTTTTTGATGCCGCGCATATGCAAAAGATGTCGAACGTTTTTTTTTTTTTGCATATCAACGATATCTGCTTCAAATTGAAATTAAATATAAAGTTTTGTCAAGCATGTCTGGCATATAATGCATACAAGCGAAGTGAAATGTATTACAATTGAAACACCAAAGTTTTGAATTGATATTTTTCAAGTGTTTGATTTTCTTTCGATTTTTCTTTTGTTTTTCTGGCTCCTTTAATTTACTAAATTAAATTTAAAGTTATCTTCACATGGCTGCTGTTGTAAGGAAATTTGTTGTTTAACGCTAACTTGGCCAACTAGTTTTAAATACTAAAGAAAATGTTAGTTTTCTGTATAATTAATAGTTGTTTAAGAATCGGCTTCATCTGGCTTTTCGTCTTCCGCCTCCGAAGTTTCTTCTTTGTCAGATGTTTGGTTTTTATTCCGCTCTGATTGCAATTCCTTGGAGATTTTCTTAACCGCCTCCAGATCGTGCAGTTTAATGCGTCTATTATTGGGATCCAAACAGTTGACTTTAACTTCTACGAAATCGCTGGTCTGCTGATCATCCCAACTGGAGTACTAAAAATAAATAAATTTATACATATTTTCTTGAGATGATGGAAAGTTAAATGGTTGTCACTTCATGATTCCATTCAAAATGAATTTATTATTAAATACAAAGAATTGTTTAAGATTTTATGTAGTTGTAGAAGTCACTTTATGCAAACATCATATTTAAAACAGCTAAAGGAACTTCAAATATTGATTGAACGCCAATTCCTTTCATCAATATATAATGAGTTGAAGCTTATGTGATTTTTGCATAATCAATATTCGTGTTACTGTCAGCCTAATCCGAATCCGAATTGATGTGACAACCGTTTTCAGTAGAATAGCAGACTTACCACCGAACTGGAGGTGAAGAGCAGTTCCTCCTCCTCGGAAGCCGACTTGACCCGCAGATACTTTTGCAGTAAATTCGTCTGGTCATCCTTGCGCCACAGACACAGTCGATTGTTCTTCAGCCAGTCGCTTTCGCGGAGATCCGACTTCTTGACCAGCAAATCCAGTTGGTTGAGCTTCACGAACTGCTTCTTGGGCGGCAGACTTTGCGGCCGCTTTGAGGTGCTGGCCGATGGGAAGTCGAAGTCGTCGTCGCTGGGATCCGTTTCTAGGTCATCCTCGTCCTCCGACTCCTCGTCGCTCACCTTGGCCATCCGGCGCTTCGCCTTCGAGGCGGCGGCCGCCGTTGACTTCCGTTTCCTGCCGCCATCCGAGCCAGATGGCTTCGCCGGACGCTTCTTGGTGGGCCGCCAGTCCTCCTCCGAGTCGGAATCGTCGTCGGGACTGAAGTCATCCTCGTCGCTCTCCTCGAAAGTGGTGGTCACCAGTTCCGTGCGACTCCGCATCCTTTTGGGAAAAATTCTCTATTCCTTTGGCTACTGCTTGGTTGGGCGACCGCTGAAAATCCTGCAGCGGTATTGCTGCTGTTGCGTTTGCTGCTGCGGCTGCTGCGTCTCAAAGCTGACTGAAAATTTTATTGTTGACTCCGAAAAGCCCATTCCATTACCCGCACAAGGGGGTCTCCCTGATTTATCCTTCGAGGGTTGCAGCTCGTCCTCTCTCGCGGTCGAAGCTTTTTTTTATTGCAGAGCTTTTTGTGTTGCATCTTTTATAAGGCAACTCCGAAAAGTTTGGAAGACGAAGCTTAGAAAGCATTATGTTTAAAGGAGTCCTGCAACGCATCCTTTAAGCTTTTAGCTGAATCTTGTAAGCTTGATCTCTGCCCTTTCGGACTTGGACAGAATTAGGTCAAAGCTTAAATTCGTTATGCATTTTTCCGAAATTCAGGTAATTAATTTCTAATCAACAGTTGGTACTTTCGGAGTGAGAGTAAAACAATATATAATTTATTTTATTTCGTGATTTAAAAATTAAAAATGTAATGGTTATCACAAAAAAATTAAAAGAAAAAATTCTGGAACCATGAAAAATTTGTTTCACATTTTTTTCCTTTTTTTTTAATCATTTCTATACCTCATTTTAATACCACAAAACTTTTTTTTTTAATATTTTGTTGCATAATATTTTGACATACTTACCATGCATACCATAAAAAATCTCCCTTTAAATTAGTTTTTCCCCAGTTAAAGCAATAAGACATTATTTGTTTCATTTTGTTCTCTAATGTATATTTATTTAAACATTTACGTAAAGCTGGACAATGGAGCACACACACTAAGAGTACTTCTACATAATTATTATTATTATTTTAATATTATTTTCTACCTTCGTTGAAGTATTTTCTATGCAAATAATTTCCAAACTTTCCATCAAGTTGACTAATTTAGCGCTTATTTACTTTTTAAACTAGTGGGGAGTAATCAATTCTCCATCGATTTGGATTATTCTTAGACCTTTAGTCGCTATACACGCGTGGGCGTGCCGTATATAACCCCCGATCCGACTCCGGATCCGATTCCAGATCCGATTCCAACATTATTCCGGCGCTGGGCGAGAGGTGAGGCTGGTTGTGGAGTCGGTCCATTGTTGTTATTCAAACGACGTTGCTGGCTATCCGAATAGGCGCGCTCTACAAGTTGGGGAAAGGATCTCTTTATCTACATCTTCTGGTCGATATATATTTCCTGATCTGGTCATGCACTATGGAGCCCGAGACTTTGTGTATCATGCACAATTTGGTTTTTGGGAGATTACCACATATTTTCTGTTTCTTCTTTAATTTGATAACATGCAAAAGTAAAATGGTAATATATATAATATTTGTAAGGAGGAATAAAACATGATGCTTTTAATGGATAATGAATGACAAATGTTGAAACAGGCATTTAAAATCATTCTCATGAAAATAAAAAAAGCATAATCCCTTATTCTAATTGCATTCACTAATTCATTAAAAATTTTAAATATTAAAATAATTTCGAAACAAACACTTATTTAGAGGCATATTTATTTTGAAAGTAGTAAAATACTGTACAATATAAAATATATGAAAATACATGAAAAATAATAATAAAAATTTAATGAATTAAAGTACAAACTTAAAATATTTAAATATATTGAAAAAAATTCAATTTTGAATGGCTAGGTAAAAAGTGAAATTAAAAACAAATAAAACTAACAAGCTTAAAATTATTGAAACTCAAAATTGTCATGCCATTTTAATAGTTCTTTTTAAACTCAAAAAACCTAAATAAAAACTAAAATATTCTTAACTCTTTCAGATCTATTTTATGATCTTAAGCATTCCGATAATTAAACTTAGTAACCAAATGATCTTAAAGCCAGCCCATAACCGTCCCAGATGAGCGATGAGAGGTGCAGGCAAAACCGTATAAATCCTTGAACATACCTCGGAACTTGAGACCCTGAGCCTCGTTTATGATGGCGGCCAAGGCGGGATGTTGGTATCGCTCCCTAAAGATGGCCGATCCGTTCATCCGATCCGTTCCTGAACCATTGCTATTGCCATTTAGGGTTCCCAAGTTCCCGTTTCCATTGCCATGATGCATCATCAGCAACTTGTGCTGCGGCGTGTGTTGGGGCGTTAGTGAAGTTGGGGGCGTGGCATTTCCATTCTTATAGTATCGATTCTGGTTGGGATCGTAGGAGGCCTGGTCTTGATTCTGATTCAGGCGGTTGGCCATCTTGATCGAGGCACAGCGATCCTCCTCGTTGTTGCGCATCTTCAGGATGCGCTGATCCTGCACCGAGTATCTCGATCCGTGCAGCGAGTTCAGCTGGTTGAGATTGCTCACCTGGCTGCTCAGCTTCTTGGCCCGAAAGCTGCCGGCCGGCGAGGAGTTATTCAGTAGAGTTCCCCTCGAGGAGCTGCCATTCGTTTCGGTGCTGTCCCTACTCGCCTCCCGGTAACTCGAGGGGCGGTGCGTCGAGGGGGGCGTGTCCAGGCCGCTATCATGGGCCGAACAGTCCAGCTCGGTTTTGGCCAGGCCGATGTTACTGCCGCCGCCAGTTGGCAACATGGGTTGGACTGAAATATACAAAATAAATATAATATATTAATGGGGATTTTTTAAGGAAATACATATAATAGAATGGAAAGCCTAAACAGGAAATGTAAAACAGACAACCAAATTAATTTAATTATTTAATTGATTAATTAATTAATTAATCACATTTTAGGTTTATCATGAAAAAAATATTTTTTTTAATGATTTGTTGACTAATAAATATTTATTTTGGTATTTAATGTATTTCTTGTATTACAAAAACCTTTCTTTTAATTTTGTTTCTTGTTTCCTATTTATTGTATCACAAAATAACGATTTTTAAGGTTAATCTAAAGTCTTTGAAGATTACATATTCATCAAAAATCTGTTGATATTATATTTTCTTTAGTGTCTCTTAAGTATTTTATTTGCTATTCTATTATATAATATTATATTATAATGAACCTACCTGAGTGCCTCATATCAGTGGGCGCCCTTGGCTTTCTATATAGCCAATCCCGATCCAATTCGTTGCCATTATCCGGAGTGGCGCTCACTCCGCGGAAAAGTCTGGGTCTCCTCAGCTGAACCTCTGCCTCCTCGGTCTCCTCATCCACCACCTGATTGGACCCGAAACTGCTGTTGATGAAGATCCTCCTGGGGGATCCATAAAGTGCTCCAGCCTGGGTGAAACTATTCTGGGCGGAGACATAGCCATTCGAATATCGACTGAGATTCGCGTTGCTGTGGTGCGGGATCTTCTGTGGAGTCGAGTGGTTCGTGCTGATGCCACTCAGGTGATGATTGTGGTTCTCGTTGTTCAGAGCACTCAGATCCGGAACAGAATCGGAGAAGAGGAAGGGATTAGCTCCTGCGTAGCCATTCAGACTGCCAGCTCCTATTTTGTGACGGGCCAGGCCTCCAGTTCCATTGGTCATCAGCCAGTCGTCCAGAGCACTCGAGTAAGTGCCTCCCAGACCAAAGTGCTGGAACTGCAGCGAGGCGTGTGAAACAGGAGCAGCCAGCGAGGCTCGCGATCTCGGTCCTTGGGCGATCTTCAGGGCTCGTCTTCGCTCCTTCGAGGTTATTGTGCATTCCTGGAACAGGAAATTAAATGTTTAATTTAAGCACTTGAATACGTTTTATATGCTGTCACTAAGTATTTAAATATTTAATACACTTCTGCTAGCTTTAAAATCAGAACATTTAATTTATTTAATTCTTTTAATTCAAAAATTATATTTACGTTACTTAAAAAAAATAAGAAAAAACAATCGAAATATGTTTTGAAAAATCCAATAATTGTAAGGTGATAAATTTCAAATATAAATTTAAAAATTTTTTTTTCTTTTATTTTTTTTTTAAATTTATTGTTAATTAAGTTAAAATTTGTTTATATTAAATCTTTCCTTTTACCTTACAGCAAATTGAACATAGAACATTTTTTATCAATGCCTTTTCATATTAAAATTTGGTTGATACATATATTTTATTTTTTTTACATTTTATGATTCAATGTAATTTTTGTCAGTCTTTTTATTAGATTTATGGCTTTGTTGACCATAAACTTAGCGCAAATATTTTTTTTGTGCCAAGTGCTTTTAAGAAAATTATATTTTATTTTTTTTTTCAATTACTGAAAATTCTTGACTAATTTTGAGCTGACTGTTTTTCCGTTTCATGGCCACTCACCTCCAGCAGCTCGAACCAGTCCTCGAGGCCATCATCGCAGCGTAGGAGAACGCGACCCTCGCGCCCGAGCAGCAATCCAATGGCGCTGTAGGAGCGCCGATTCAGCCACTCCACCTTCTCCACGTCCACCAGCTTGACCTGCAGCGAAACCACAGAAGACAATGCGAATCGTTAGACAATCAAGTTAAAGGTTATGCAAACGGTTTTCCGCTGAATGCGAAACAAACTGATTTGCCCGGGTCACACTCAGTGGGGCGCTGTGAAACTGGTATCAAATTAATCGTTGGGTGGGAACGGGGTATAATGCTTTGCTGTTTGTTGGGGTTTAAATTCTATGGTAAGCTTACAACAATAAAAAAAAGGTTAATTGTACTAATAATTTGTGGTAATAATCTTACACAATCCTAAAATAATATGGCATACAGGCTTTCAAAAAATTTAATTTTATTATTTATAAATAACTCTCTTGAATGATTTAAGTTTATCACAGCTCATAATATTCAAATTATTCCCAACCTCCCACATAATTTTAATAAATAACTACATATATGATATTTCCAGAGCAACTCTTCTCACCAAAGTTGTAAACTTCTGTATACAAGGGCTACATTTCACAGCATCATAAACTGAGTAAAATAAATTACTAATGAAAAGTGCAGAGCAGCAACTTATGTAAGTCGTAACAACTTTGCCTGAATAATGCACCAATTAAGTGTCAGTGGTCTAGTACATGGCCTCCTTTCTTTTTGCATTTCGCAACTTGGTTAAAAGTCATTAGGCCAGCAAGTTCCATCGGCGCTTCGCCAACGCTTTTCCTGCTTTCCCCAGAGGAGTGCCACAAACTTTTTAGCCATCTGAACTTTTTATTGAACATCTTTTTTTCCTTGTGTGTGCTCGTAGCCCTTGTTTATGAGTAAAACTTTAAGTTTGCCAGCGATTCATCGTGCTGTCGCTCGCTTATGGCCAAGAACTATGTGAGGCCATTAGGCAAATATGTCAGCAGGGCCAGCAGAAGCAAAGGAAAAATCAAGAAGCTGCGACTGAGGCATTGGTAGCAACCGCGTGTGGCAATTAGCCAAGTTATGCGGCCTTTGTAAGTTTGCCTCTTTCTTTCCTAATTTATTTCTTTCATTGGTTCCATCTCTCCTCTTCTAATGGCCAACTTAATTAAGTTCTTAAAGTACTAGGGGCAGTGTTTTTCTGATCGCTTTTTATGATAAATCGTTAAGGCATCAAATGGATTTAGGAATATTGTAAATGCTTCTACTTATTTAATGAATGTTTAGGGGGATTTGCTTCTGCCTCGATCGAAGATCACAAATCGAAACTCTTCTGGAAGTCGAATACTTAAATGTTGTGTGGGATGTGACATGCAAAAAATACATCAAATTAAAATATTTATGGTATTCTGGGATGATCCCGAAGAAATATGTCAGAACTCCTACGTAGATCGTTTGGGAAAGTCTTTACCAAGGTTTTATAAATAAAACTGTGCGTTGTAAATGAGTTTGGTGTTGCCCAATAACTAAACTAAAAATAATATCAGTCTTAATCGGCTTGCTTTATTTTGGTTTTATTTATATTACATTTTTACAACATTATCTTTCCTTTTACTTATTTTGTTTTCCCCATTTCATATTCGAAAAATTTGTCCAATTTGACCTCTGTTTCCCTGCCCAAATCTGACCTCACTCTTTCGTAATATGTGCCAACCCACAATCGATGGCCAAACATTTTCCAAATTTCCGTTTTACGTTTGGTTAACAAATAATGTGCTCAAGGTCGATATTGATCGGCTTGCTGGCCCGCCTGTTATTATTTATTATTGTTATTTATGAGTTTTATGAACAAATTCCATTGTTGTTGCTGCTGTCGTTTTATATTTTGACATGTTTAATAGCATGAGCTGTCAAAACTAACACAAAAGCTCAACTGGTCAATGGTTCAGATTTTGGCATTGCGATTTGGGAAAGTCAAATTGATTTTAGGCGCGTGTGGCTTACAAATATTAAAATACTTTAACCTGATTATATCGTGTTTTTTTAGTTTGTCTACATTAAAATTTTCCTGTTCCTTTTTTTTGTATCACTTTTTCATTATGCCTTTATGCATTTCGCACATAATTAAATACTTCGGTATCGATATCAGAGTCACTTCAGTGCAACCCAATTAATAATGCTCATTAACGTTGAACAGACGGAAATTGCATTTCCCCACAGGCCGCCCCTTTTTCCCACATTATCCTTTCGCCGCCTATCCAAGGACAAAAATCAATATTGCTTTCAATCACTGTCAAAGTGCAAAACTGCAAAATTCTGAGGCGGAAAACTTTGCCAACCCGCAGGCAGATGAACCGACATGGAAACCCTTCCAACCTATTTTCCCCCATTCCCTCCGCACTTTCATCACCAGTGATCAGGGGCGGACGCAGGGGGTGTCCGGGGGTCCGGACCCCCTCCAAAATCTCAGACTTTTTCAAATTTCCTTACAGCACACGGCTTTTCAACCATAAAACTAAAATTTTTTTGGTCGGACCCCCCGAAAATAACAAATTTTTTGATCGGACCCCCCAAACGTAAAAATTTTTGATCGGACCCCCAAAAAACAAAAATTTTTCGATCGGACCCCCCAAAATTTTTTCTGCGTCCGCCCCTGCCAGTGATTATGCCCGATTGATTTCCCTCAGGTAGATAGATGCCAGACAATCAGACCAATTCTGTTTCATCACTCTTACCACGTTTATACGTCTGATATATGGTGAATAAAAAGTTGTATTGATTATAAATAATTTAGATGCCTCATGGGAATATTGGTAAATTAAAGTACTAAATTTTTATAATGTAAAAATAAGAAAGGGTTATAAATTAGAAAGCTTTGCTTATCTAGGTATTTTTTAAAGCTCTTATTATTTGTTTTCAATTGTAAATAATTTATACAATTTTTTGTAATGTATAAAATTCCTCTTTAGCATCTCTTTACTTTTAAAGCTGTTTTTGAAATTAGTATCTGTTTGTGAAAATTGTCTGAAAATGGTGCCAAAATTAAGTTAAATCATTAAACTCAGACAGTCTGCCTCCGGACTCCTAACTCACTCGCACGTTTTTTTCTCGCCTAATTGATTAAGTTGATTACATCGACGAGGCAATATTGAATCATTGTAGTGTCAATAAAACATCAATGAACAAGCGAAATCACAAAGAAGCGATAAAATGAGATGCCGCCTTCCGCGCTGATTAATGAGTCAAACATTTCGAGACATCTCCCCTCTCGCTTGCACCTGTTCAATGCCTTTCTTTCACACCTTTTCACCTTTTTGTTCAATGACTCGTTCACGGCTGACTTCCCCAGGTTTGCATTTTGGAGAGAATCGAAGCGTGGGCGGCTGGCTTTGATGTTTTCTGTTGACCATTTTTGGTTGAATTTCATTTGGTCATAATCCTGAAGGTCAACGGGCAGTTTATTTGCTTTTGAATTTTGGGAAATCGGCCAAATACCCTAATTCTTGATGGGATTTTCAATTGAAAATCGCCCAATTTTGTGAAACGAATTACCTAATATTTTCCAAGCAGAACGAATTCTTCTCGTAATTTCTTTATAAATGTTTTCCCTCGCATTAAATAAGTTAATCTCCCGCACGGTGCGGGATTTTTCACCGTTTAGTTCCACCTATGTCATTATTTTCCCCCCGTGTCTGCTTTTCCCATTTCCCTCGCCACTCTTGCTTATTTACTTTGGAAAATTGCCCGCACAGCAGCGCAGCGTTTTTCACTTTGTTTTATCTGCGAGAAAAAAAATATATTTTAATTTTAAATTAAACTGTAAACAACAACAACCTGATGTTCGTTGTGTATTGACACTGCTTTTAAGAGAGAGATTTTAGCGGAAAAGTGCCAACAAAAAGAAAAACGACACAAGTTTCAAACAAAATAAAATTAAATTCAACGGGCAAAAAGAAAAAAAAAGTTAAAGTAATTTTCCCATGATCTCTTTGCAGTGGCGTGGCATTTGTTGTTTTCGTTGTTGCCACTGCAGTTTTATGTGCATTTTCCTTATTTGTTTAAACAGCAACAACAACAACAACAATGTCATCAACAACAACAACCAACACAGCATCATCTGAGGTAATGAACAATTTCACGGCAATCATGTGTTTAATACTCTTAGTGAATATTTTAAATAGAGACAATACATAAAAACAAATAAAAATATACAGAAAATATATAAATTTTCTGTTCAATATAAAACTTGAATTGGAAGTTCAGCATATGCAATTTTTATTGGTTAATATTTTTTAGTTTAAGTTTTAGAATTGAGAATTGAAATGAAAAATAATCTGCTATTTTCATTTTTTTCCCCAAACAATTTTTATAAATTTAAGTAAACATTTCCCAGCTTTTCCGCGTAAAGCATCCCAAAGAGTGTTTATATTTCGCCTTATTTCTATTATCATTTTCCTGTTTGCTTTTCGCAGTTGTTGTTGCTTCTGCAGTTGTTCCTGTTTGTGTTTTTTGTTGTTGCTGCCTGTGTGCAATATTTGCCCGTTTGCCTTTAGTATTTCTCGTATTTGCTTTGTTTTCATCGCAAAAGTTGTGCGGAGTGAGTTAAGGAGAGGCACCCCAAGTGGGGGAACCCCAAGATGAGGAGGGGAGTGGCTGAAATAGTTAGGCAAATTAACATGCAGTAGATGCAAGTTTTAGCCAATTAGTTGAGCTTAGCCAAAGTTGAAGTTTTTCTTTTCGCTTTTATTTCCCCCATTCGATCAGGATTTGTTTGGTTTCAACGGATTCGTACGGATTTCAACTAGAGATTGCCTATCAATTGACTCCCCTAAAAGGAGAACGGATATCTCTCATCTATCTGGCTGAAAAGTCAATTGCAAAACGTGACTCGATGTGTCTGGCATTGTCAACCCAAAAAGACTTCATTTATAAACCATTTTTTTTATTATTTGCGGGAAAGGTGTGTCCTAGCCCCCTTTATAAACCCCAGCCATCACGAACAGGTTATATTCATGGGTTGTTCATAATGCTGGGCATAAATCTCTCGCCGACTGCAATAGAATTTAACACAATGCGCAGTAAATAAAAAAGTTCGCTTGACACTTTCGGTGGAGGAGAAGTTCTGGGAGAACGAAAAGGTATTTATAACTTTATAACTCTGCCTTTGTGAAGTTTAAACTATTCTTTTTTTCAGAGATTTCCTAGATTTGGTATCCACTTACCTTAAAGATAAACTGTCCCATATCCGAGGCACGTTCATTGGCCGATCCCGAGGCTCTTTTGAAGCAGTGCAAATAGTCACGAGTGAGCACAAAGTATCTGCAAGTAGAGATTGTCTTCAGTCAGTACAAAATCATTCAATTCAGAATTGACCTTTAAATTTAAATCTGACGGCAGTCTTCAGTTAAAGGTCAGACACTCTAATTCCAAAACCGGCATAAAATTGTTGCCAAAAAATGTTTAGACCCTTCCCCATTTATGCCATTTGAGTGTGTTATTAATAAATCATAAATCATGCGCAAAAATATAAGAAATCTTCTGCCACGATTTTGGGCTTGAAAGTACTTCAAGTTTTATGACTTCCGCGAGACGATAATAATATTATAATTTTTTTATTTTATTGTTTTGCAGCAATGAAAATCGACTTTATTAATGTGCCAAGCGTTTTTCTGGTGCACATAAACTCCGTATTTATTTATTATGAATGAAGCTCAGTAAGCAAGATATATAAACTGAAAAAGTTCTCAAGCTAAACAGAAATTCGAATGCTTTTGGTTAGAATTTGGATTGGATAATAGCTCACTTCCCTGGTGGAAGTTTTCGTTTTGTTTTGCCTATTAGCGTGGTCAAGTAAATTGAGCTAAGAAAATTGTTGCGGAAGAGGTAAACGGCTCGCGGGTTTTTCGGTTTCGGTTTGTTTCGGTGGGTGGTTTCTAGAAGAGGGAAGGGATTCTTTTGGAAGATAATGATCGGTTCAGTTTTTAGTTGAGCTTGGTAAACGGTGAAGGCATGCAACTAAAGATCTAATCCAAAAAATTGGAGAACTCAATTAGTGAAAAAGAAAAAATAAAATTATAAAAAAATATAGCCACTACAATGTATAAAATTCTTTGATAAATTATTATATTATATTATTTTTATTTGGGCTGTAACATTCATTTAACACGAATTTGATGAATATGATTAGTGTCCTAATCTAAAAGAGTTTGCATGCCTGTTAAATAGCTAATCGCTTATTAAAATTAATTAAATATATTAAACAGCTTGCGAAATAAAATTGTTTAATTATGTTAGACATGTTTTCGAAAATCTCCCAGATTTATTTTCATCAGCACGCCATTTAAGGTATTAAAATACAACGCATTTAGCTTAAATCAAAAATGCAAATCAAATATTGACCATTGAAGTACCGGGCTTAGTTTCTCATTAAATGTCAATTTAAATCGCGTCGATAAATGATAAGCGATAAGCGTAATTATCGGTTCAAAGGGCAGCAGCCGAAAGTCAAACAAAAACAGCGAATTGCATTGCAACATAATTAAATTTCAATTAAATGCAGCAAGAGGGTAAACAAAAACAAAAGAGCTGTCAGTCGGTCGCGTTGAAGAACCCCTTCCGATTTTCCCCATTAGCATTATCTAAAAAAGGACGAGCCAGCATGCAGCCACTGTCAATTATGCCCTTTTTTGCAATTAACAACCCTCGGAGGTTGTGAAATATTTTTGCATATTTTACGGGGCTGCGGGGGCGTTTGTGTCTGGTCTTTCAGCCAATGCAGATTGCGGTGGAGGTAAATTTAAAAGCGCTTAACATTTATGCATCCCCACTCGGCCACACAGAAGAAACAGGTCATCAAATTTATAAGCCGTTTTAAATAAATTTTCAGCGAAAAATAAGATACATTAATATGATAAGGTTTATAAATAGATATAAAACGAAATATAGAAAAAGAAGATGAAATCCAATTTAATTTAAACAGCTTTAAGTTAAAGTCAGAGTTAAACAATGAAATTTTTTATTGGTTTTTGGTTTATTAAGTAAGCTAGTGAAATTGTCTTATTTTGCTAATAAAAATTTAAAAATGTATGGTTTGATTTTTTGGCATACTGAATTCCTTTTGGATAAAATTATGGGATATATTTTAAATGAAGAATATATGATCGGAAAAAATGTTTACTAAAAATAATAATAACTTAAAATTTTTCTTGGGATTTATTTTAAAGCATATTTCGATCTATAAATGAATGATTTGTTTCCAAAGTTATTAGCCAATTGGTTAAATGCTTTTGTTACAAATAAATATCCCCCAAAAATCACTTTAGTTTTAATTATTTTGCAAGTGTACTCACCGTTCCTTCCAGCGGGAGAAGAGGCGATCCCTTTGCTGCCAGAGCAGTCCACGTTTAATGGGTCCTGTCATGGAGGCCACCGGAATGCGTCCTGCCAGCAAGGATTGCTGCAAAAGCGAAGGAGAGTGAGTGAGTGAGTGAGAGGCGGGAAATTGTTGCTGATTGTGCATTCTTCAAATTTAATTACGGGAATACTTGTGTGCATGTAGTTAACGCACTTCTATGCCTCAGCTGTTTTGCTCGTAAATTCTTTTATAAATTATTAAAAGGCCCGGGCATGAAAAAGCCAATTTCCCACACACTAGACAGGAGCGGAGAAAGCGGCGGGGAGAAAGCGAGGCACTCTCGTGAGCTCATGATTAATGTTGCTTTAAAAACGCTGCCACTTGCGCCACTTTTCAACCCCAAACGCCCTCTGGCCCCCCAGAACCACCCACCGATCCCCCCTATACATATACATATATATATATATCCCCCGTTCTCGACTTGTACCATTACTCTGCCATAAATTCTGTTTGTTGCTGTGCGGTTTGTTGTTTTGGCTTTATGAGCATTAAGGCAATTTATTATCAACCATAGTGTTACAATATTTTACATTAACAAATGTAGCGCGGTGTGTCCTGGCTTATTCGCCGTAATTATCATGTATCTGTATCTGAATGAGGTTTTTTTTTGAGGTTTCGGATTAAATTAACTATTAAAAAGATTAGCGATGATCAATGGATAAAGCGATTGGCGATTCGGCCCAGAGATTAATGGCTATCGATCAGAAACTGTTTAATAAAAACTGAGGACGCTTAATAAAAAAGTTAAAATGGTGAAGAAGCTAAAGAGCTGAAAAATATGTCAATTGTTTAACTTTGATGGGAATAAATACACTCATTAGATTTACCCAATTCGATTTAATAACTCAATTCAAACTTTATACACACAAACCCCTTTGGCAAATTATCGACTTTGTCGCCAACAAAAAATTTCAAACATTTTGCAGTCATAAAATCAGGGAAGCCAATCTGAAACGAATCCATTCGAAACTCGCTAACTTAATGAGATGCCTAAAAGGCAAAAAGCCACTGCCAAAAAAATAAATGCGAAAATCTATCAAAATGCTAACGGGTCGTTTTATTTGCGGATTGACAAAAGCTTGAAACAAAAATCGAATTATAATTGAGATGGAGAGACTCTGAAATTCAGAGGGAAGCTTCAAAGTAGCAGAAACAATTTCTGCCAAAATCTGGCAAATATCCGAAACGAGGCAATAAATCTTCTGGGCGCTGAAATTGAAGATACTTTTCTTGTTTTATCTGCGCGTAACCATCTATCCTATAAATGGAATGAAGTTCTTAGCCAGTTCTGGTCAAATTAATGTTAGTCACGAGCTCCGGGCAGACAAAAGCCAACTTCAAGCTCAATATGGTCAAGAGGAAAGCCGGCTAAAAAGGCGAAGAAGAAGAAGAAGGAAAGAGTTTCAGCGGATAATTCCCAACAAAGCGAAGTAAGGGCTAAAAAACTCAGCTGAAACTTAATTTGGCGCATTAAAAACTATTGTGCGCTCGGAATGCCAAAAAGAAAGAGACGGACTGATGCTGCGGGAAAGAGAGAGGAAGAAACGTGCTGCAGCCATTGCAGTTAATGAGCAAAATGAGTTTGCTTTTGCCTTTTCGCAATTGGGCCCCAATTTCCTTGGCTTTTTTCGTTCTGCTGCGGGGGAAAACTATATATTCTTGGCTTGTTTCTGTTTTTTTTTGGCCAAAATAAATAGAATTGTGTGTCAAATCAATGGCTTTGGGGTGGCAATTATTCCATTGGGATGCCTAATAAAATTAAATTAGCAATTATCCAAAGTTTTCTATTGTTTACTTTTGGAATTTAAAACTTGAAAAATTCACTTCTGGTAAGAACAAAAGAAGTCTTTATTATCACTGAGCACACTCTTCTATTTATCTTTTATTCAAGATTTATCTTTTGTGCTCGACTACCTATTTGCGTTGGTTTCCATTAAAGATAAATTATCATATCTTATCTTTCTGCAAACAATAATTTAAATAAATAAATGTATTTTTAATTAGCAAGAAGAGGTGTTTATTAAACATTAAGCGAACAGACAAAGATTTCAACTCAACTGAGAACAAAAGTTTAAAAGTCAGAGGAAGGTGTTGTTACGTTTCCATCTCAATTTTTTCTGACTTCCTATGGATGTCGGATTTTTTGTGCAACTTTCAAGTTATTATGTAACCCACATGACTTCAATGTCTTAATGCCCTCATTTTCATTGCATTTCGTGTCATTTTTTCGTGTGTGAAAACTTTAGCAATTGCAGAAACTCCTTTTTCCCTCCGCAGTTGATTATTTATGCTGCAGGTTTTACTGTTTGTTGTCTGCAAAGTGCAGTGGTAAAAGAAAAAAATATTTCTGGTATTTCTTTTTGATTGCATTACACAATTACCTGGTCTGAGCGACGCCCCTTTTATGGTGGCTTTTAATTTAGGTTGTACTGGTTGAGGATGAGGACTGAAAATCTCTGTCGCATATTGATACTTTGACGGATTCACACCCATTATATGTTTTGTAAACTAAAACGCCAACACAGAACTTGTAGCCTCTTCACACACTTTTGAATTGTTAAATGATTTCCGCTCACCCAACCCAAATGTGTCATCAAAAACATTATAAGTTTTACCCACAAGTTTCTCTCAATTGTTGGGTATCTATTAAGAGATTTCAAACTCGAGTGATTCACAATGTATTTCCCTCTTGTAATCAGCCAATTTCAATGCAGAATTTCACACTTTAGTCAGTATGTATGGAAATTCCTAAGAACTATATAAAATATACACTTTGGTTCTTTGATTTATATGAGCTTATTCCATAATTATATTCTGTATTTCCGTTGACCTCAAACCTGCCCATGGGGACAGAAAATGTTGAGCAAACAAATCGACGTTCGGGGAATAAAACGTACATGGTACAAAATAGTTTTTACTTTTGGTAGGTCTCATTAATCTTCGTTGTCATAATTTGTTTGGTGAAAGTATGTATATGGGATACTAGAAAATAATAAAATATTGGGAGGGACAACTATCTCATATCTTCTGTTAATTCTTTTAGAAGACATTCCACTCAAATCACTGCTATCAAGGCGGCTCTTTAAAACAATTACTGCTGTAAGAGGCAGCCTCTGTGAGTCAATGACTTTTATGGCAAAAAACTTTTTTAATTTAATTATGCACACGCATCCACAGACGCAAACTACTTTCAGCGTTGGCGGGTTCAGTGAAAAGAACACACAAAGTGAAAATTTGTGCAACAGCTGGAAATGCGAGGGAAGTTAGGCCCGACCCGGTAAAAGAAAAAGGAAAATCAAATGCCATATGAAAAGGTGGGCTGGCAGACGGTTTTTTATTTAATAAATATTTTTCTCTTTTGCCAGTTGAGAGCACAACAAGTATTTATGACTCTGGTTGGATGAGTTAACATCAAAAGGCAACAAAATGAAACTGAGGAAAAAACAACGCTCCGATTTTTTTAGTGAATGTTGAGCAAAAGTCAAATATAATCCGCAAATGAAAATGAATTTCAATTTGCCAACAAGTCATGTTGAAACAATTGAAAAAGGCAACGGAAAAAATCGTTCGACTCTCAAATATTTGCACTGTTTTAATTGAAAGTCAACTAAAGTTGAAAGTTGCCGATCAATTTGTTTGCTTACCCAATGCAAATCCGTAGAGAAAATCATCTTGCTTTGTGAATAAATTGAAATGCAAAATTAATACGTTGAAGAAAATTTTCACAATAAAATCTTTTCAAGTTTTTCGTTTTTCGATAAAAATTTTTCGTTTGAGTTTCGCAGGAGTTTCACCGACACACGACACTTTGGTTAAGATCAACCCGAACCGCACCAACATCCATTGACGACTATTCAAAATTCTGTTGAGCAAAGATTTTCATGACAGAGTCCGCCTAAACATTTATTTTATTTTATTTTTTCCCCATCACATATGGCGAAAACAAGCCCAGTTCAAGCGGACGGACTGCCTGTGTGTGTTCTACACATGCTCGTGTGAGCACATGCAAAAAGTATCTGAGTATCTGAGCGTTTGGGTTTCTGTGTATCTTTGTATTTGGTATTTTGTATCTGTCTATCTGTTGCGGCGCATTGTCGTCTGCCGTGACGTGACACACATGTGGGCAATTCTAAGCAGGCAAGCCATGAAGATTTTCGTCGCCGTTTGGTTGTTCGGCTGTTCTTGTTTTGGCCAAACATGTGCCTACGGTTTTTGGCTTTTATGGTTTATGTGTTAATAAGGCGACCTTCATGACCGCAGAGCTGAGATTTTTCTATGCTTCTCTCTGCCTGTTTGGCTTTTCGGGTGGGCAAAACACCAAACGCAACTCGCTGTCGATGAGGCAATGGGCGTGGTAAATGAATAAAAAATTGGGAGTGAGGAATGAGTTTATATCTGCCTTGCCACATCAAAGATATACGGTCAAGCTTCTCAGGAAAGTAGGTCAGCTTGATAATAAATCAAGGGAGATTAAAGGAAGAAAATACAAAGTGATCTAATTGAGGAAAATGATTAAGAACTTTTAAGTTGATGATCAGAAATCATATAATGTATTGAGTTTTTTATGATGATTTTTTTTTGATTCTTTGATTAAAATATTTAATAAGTCCTTAAATAATATGTATATTACAAGGAGTATTTGTTTTGTATGCAATTTTTAATAACTCTTCTTTTCAGAACTATGTTCATAGGTTCATTGATTATTTTACAAGATTTAAATAAGTTAAACTTATTTAAAGTTTTAAATGGGAGTTTATGTAATATTTTTCTAAACAAATATTATATTATATATGAGATATGATTCCTGATATCTAATGTCATTTTTAAGGGGTTATATACCTTCTTTGTCGAAGAAAAAGAGGAAAGTTCGGAATTTTTTTTAGGTATGTAGCAATTATTTAATTGCACGGGTATTTTAATTTTTTGATAGTACACTTTATTAACTATGTTTGTGCAAAATTTCGTGGAAAAATATCAATTAGTTTTTAAGGGGTGGCTGTTTCCCTTAGAGGCCTTTTTTTTTAGAGCCTTGCGGTGATAACGCTCCTGGTCGAACCAGTCAATTGAAACCATAAAAGTAAAAAAATTTCATTAGTTTAGAGTAATATCTTGTGCTTGAACGAACGATTTAAAAAATTTTTATTTTTGTATGCATACGGGAACGTTTTATGCTAAAAATGAGCTTTTTGCTCTCTAGAAATTTCACTAAAAAATTCATTTCGGCGAAAAAAAAATTTTTGCGTGAAAAGTCGATCGTTCAAGCACAAGACAATTTCATTACGAACATTTGAAAAAAAATTTGAAGTAAATCGGTTCAGTAGTTTTCCGCCAATCGTTATCACCGCAAAGTCATTTTTCAAGAAACACCATTTCGAGATATTCGCGTTTAAAGTTTCAAGTTCAGTTTCGGGCCGCTACGAGGCGCGCGGTTAGGAGCGCTGTAACTTTTTTTCAACTGCTCGAATCTCTATGAAAATTTGGGAAAATGTTCTCAAGGAGTGGTTCTTTAAGATAAAGCAATAAAAAAATTGTCGATTTTTTGAAAATAAAAAAGGTATATAACCCCTTAAGTGGCACATTTATTTCTGTGCCGGAATTCAAAGCCGTTCTTTGTGGCCTGTGTTTGACTACCCCTTGTGGACTTGTGCACTAAGCTCTCGGCAGTCATAACTCACAATCTCCTCAAGCAATTCACCCCATCGACCTTCAACCGACTCCCTCCAGTCTAGCCAAATACATTTTATCATTTTTCGGTGCCTGTCCGCCAGTCACTCAGAATGGCAAGCTGCGTTTCAATTCGAATTGCTTTGGTGCCCGAGTCTTTTCGAATGCATTTGGCAACGGGAAATGGGAAATAGCGACTGCCACTGTCTCAGTGGGGAGGCTGCCCGAAAACCATTTTCATACCCCAGAAGAACCTCAAAACGAGCCATGTTCACACGACCAAAAATCCAAAAAAAAAAAAAAAAATAATGAAAAGAAAAAGAAATAAAAAGAAGAACGAGATCCTGCCGCGCAAAGAGATGAATAAAAGAGCAGAAACCAGAACGAGAATTTCAGTTGTTCCCGTGGCTTCTCAGAAATTCATCATTGCCATCATCTTCAGCCTCATGTTGGATGTTAGTGGCCAAAGGCCCAGGCGTCGTTGGGTCTGCCAAAAAGAAAAAATTAAATGAAATAAATGCTAACGCAAAGAAAAAAGTGTTGAGAATTTGGCGTGCCATGTGTGCGAACAGGAAAAACGAGAACAGGATGCAGAAGGAGCGGCAAGAGTGGCAAGAGCAGCCCTTGAACTTGGCCCAGGAAGTGTTGGCCCATTGGCTGCGAGCCTAAATGCTCTTTTTTCTTTGATCGCCGGAGGAAGGGGAAGGCCAAGGGTGCCTCGATTTTGCAACACATGTGGCCTTAAATCTAAATGATTTAGTGCATCGGCACAAGAAAGAATATTTGGGATGGAAGTTGCTAAGGAGAAATTATCAAAACTAAAAATAAAATATTAATTTTAAATGTGAATAGGCAAAATTAAAATTAATTAAATTTAATTTAAATAGCCTGAAGTGTGAGGTATCGGATAATAAAATAAGTAACAAATATAACTTGAATACATATAAGTTTAAACTTTTAACTTTACTCTCCTAACACTCATTTCTACTTTTTTTTTAAACTTTGCTGTTTCCTTATCCCCAAATGTTAGGGCATCTCAACGTTCCCTTTTTTCCACCGAGGACAACTCCCTTCTGGTTGTGTTTTTAAAAATTCTATGCATATTTTTGCCACCTCTCAGTCTCATTTGCGGTGTATTCCCTCCAACCGCATTTCCCCCTTGGGACGATGGCGTCATGCGGGCTCGATAAAAATCATGATGTTTTGTTTTTTTTATTTAGAGAGCTTTAGGAGCACATCAGAGGTGATGTGCGAGATGCTGGGAAAACTGCAATTGATGGCAGACTCTCCGCGAAGGCGAAGGAACTGGCTTCACATGTTTCTGTATCTTATGTGTATCTATTAGCCGCAACTATGTAAGGTCACGCCTAGCATGAGACCGCCCCCTAAAAAAACCATTTCACATGCCGTTCCAAGACAACTTTGTATCTAGATAAACTCGGTGCCACACTGTGAGTTGTTACTGTAGTTGTTGCTGTAGTAGTTGTTGCTGTAGTTGTTTGCCGTGCCTGATTATGACATTTAACATGAACACGTAGCGAGTGCAACACATGCGAACGACAGCTCTGGTATTTTCCGCAGTCTTTTGGTATTTCTTTCAACGGTCACAGCTTGACACGCCTCACACAAGCCGAAGAAAACTGCAATCCAGCGAATTTTCTTTTACTTTTCTGCCACTCTCCCCAAACATTGTTGTGTTCTTTTGGCCCTGGCTAAAAGCGAGCAGCGTTCGAGAAGTTTGAGGCACCTATTCGTGGCTTAAATTGGTAGTTTAAAGGAAATCTCGGATGGAGTTGGCAGACTATTGGCAGGAAAATGTTATGATATTGCTTACGTCGTGGTTGAAATTGAGCCAAGTGCTTTGGTTGTTGCAACTCACCTGGAAAGAGAAGGAAAAATATAGAAAAACATTAATAAAGGGCAAGATTTTGTAAAAAAAATTAAATAAATTAATAACAAATTTAACCCTCATTTGGCGAACAATCCACTTTACAAATCCCACAGGGGTTAATTACTTTTTATGAGTAGTTTAGAAAAGTATATTTATCAAATCTTTCGTAACAAATAATCTCAGATTATTTTCTAATCAGGGGATTAAAAAGCTAAATAGTTGCTAAGCCGATTAAATATCCGTAAAGTAGAATCTAAAAAGGGTTTAAGAACTTATAACAACATTTTTTCACAATCCACCTGCAAAGCAAATGCATTTGGTGATTATGCTATAAGCATCCACAAAAAAATTCCAAGAGTGAGAAAAAATAAATATTCTCAACCTGACGCGGCTTATCCGACAAAAGCAACAAATAAACGAGTTCTATTAAACAAAATCGAGTTGGGCCAGCAGCCAGTCAAGTGTGCCAGCGACTTATTTGTCACTATAGCTGTTGCTTTGTTTTATTTTATTTCATTTTATTTTATTTTTTTTTTTTGTGATCGAGTGTGGGCGATTGAACACCCGTTCTGACAGACTGACACCCGTTCTGTCTAAGGTCAGGCGTTCACCAGTGCGTATGAGTAATAATTTCTTAATTGTCGCATTAAACAATTAGCGAATGGCGCGCTCTATAAATACACTATCATTCGGAATAGTCTCGCTTTTATGCGGTTTTCGAGGTTTCAAGTGCACTAATCTTTTTTGTTTGCACAAAAATTTTCTCTTGTTATTTCGAGGTTTATTTTCGCTCGCTTCGCTGCCTTTAATTGTTTATGTAAATTAGAATTTTGTATTTTTTTTCCGTTTGTGCCGCTTGTTACTGATGAGCAATTTAAATACACTCGACGAGGAAGTGAATGTGCGCATCGGCAGAAACGGCAGAGAGTTGAATGTTTTTTTTTTTTGGCTACTTTTGGCACGGCTCGAAAAAAAAAACTGATTCACAGGGCAAACAAAGGTGTGAAGTACATTAGCCAGTCAATATTAACAAGATGTTCGTTGAGGGGCTTGGTCCAACGGCCAACTAAATTCAAAATCGATGACTGACTTGAACAACTCTTTACTCTTTCGAGCCAAATTGACTGTCAGTTGTCAGTTAAAATGTTGGATCAGCGAATGGGCAAGGTTCGGATAAGGTTCATCCATCTTCATATGTGTCCACAGCCACCAGGCATTTCGCTTCCGTTTCCTGCCCTCCAAAGTCAAATTAGCTTTGCCTGCCGGCCGTTCAGTTAGTTAGCCAACTTTCAGTACTCGCTTTTGTCACACTCGTCTAGACTCTCGTTTGATTGAGCGCTGACAAGAGACATCTCTATGTCAGGTCAGCCAACTAACAAGCGTTGCCAATCACCTGGCTCCTTCCACTGGCTTCCACTTGGCCATTGGACATTGGCCGTCGAGTTTTGGCCAGCTCGCGGGCCGCAGGTTCAATGCTTCAATTTAATTTGCTGTCAATCATTTTGTGCGCTTCACACTTTTGTTTGGAAAAAATCGTGAACAATTTTATGACTTGTTTTGATCAGGCAAAAATAACTGAAAGGTGTCCGCTGATTGACTGCCAGAAAAAATGGGATATTTTGATTTTCACTTGAACAAAGTAAAACAAGACTGCAAATTAACTAGCAGAAAATATTTAAAAGGTGAAAATAACTTTTTGTAACAAACTAATTTAAATCCATTTAAAGCAAATAAACAATCAAATTATAAAAGCAAAAACAAGATTTTAAATGAGAAAATATGTTAAGTTGTACGTATGATAAATTTACATTTGAATTTTTCATTCATATTTTTCCGTTAAGGCTTATATGTTTCCCATGCACGAAACCAAGAACTATTCTATAACTGTTTTTAATTTATTTTTGGATTATGGAAAGTAGGGTATTCGCTTCCCATTTCCGTTCCTTTAAAATAGAACGTCTTAAGATTATTGATCTTGAATACTTTCGAAGCCATTTATCATCGATTCACACCTTTGTCGTTACTTTTGTCGCCCGTTTTAGTATCTTGTGCCCACTTCCCGATCCCAATCTTTCCGGCAGACAAAAGAGGAACGCCAGTCGGCGCACTTTGTCGGCCTGCCCACAAGCCCAATGATTTGCTTCGGGCCGTGAGAACTGTGCCAGGTGAATATGCCCCCTGCCACTCGACCATTGTCAACAGCCAGTGGCAGGGAAACTTTGCACTATTTTCCCTATTTTCTTGTGCAATTATTTATAATAGCGCCCGGTTTGAGGCATTAATGCCCGGGAAGCAGCAGGTCGAAGCAGGTAGAACGCCTCCCCAGACATTGTCTCCATGTCCTGAGTTCATTAAGGGTAATGCATGCCAAAAAAAAAAGGAGGCAGGCGAAACAAAAAGATTGAAAAGGAGACACACTGTCAGACAAACGCACACACATATACATACATATATTCATTACGATCCAGACTGGCGCACACCCACATATAACCGAGTATCTGCGTAAATATAGGATGCCAGGATACGCCAGGATACGCTCTTAATGAAGGCCTGTCGTCTAGCACCTGCTGCAGTTCTTAAGAAAATGTTCCCTCGTTTGTCTGAACGGAGTCCATATTCTGCAGGTAGGAAAGTGATTGCCACGCAGCCCTGGCTCTTAACTTCTTATAAATAATTAAATTGCAACCAGTTCTGGCCAGGAGTTGGGTATTGATTTTTTAGGGGAGTTCCTGGAGGAGTTTCTAAGATAAGATTAAATTATAAACTACTATAAGCTGATTTATTATAGGGAAATGTTTAATTTAAAACGTTAATGCCAATTCGAAAAGTCGAAACATAAAGAATAATATTTATTGAAATCATTCGGAATTATTTAACTTTTTCTTTGCTAATCGAATTCAATTCATATGCAAATATATATATCAGTTAGTTTTTTATAATACAAATGTAACTTAATAAATGTTAAAAACCGACTTCCTTCTGTTTTACAAATGTGAATGGCCTTAATGCAACTTTATTGCCTCTTGAGTTTTGTTTTTTGCATTTCAACCGCCTTCCAGTCTGGCTTGTTAAATAATTCATTGAGGGTGGTCTGACCGACTAAGAACCTTCTAGGGGTTTCCTTTAAGACTGCCAACTTCCGCCAATCAAAGCCATACTACTTACGCTTCAGGAAGATATATGTTTCCCCCGCCCCTCTTCGCTTCGTGTGCCAAACAGAAGTCATACATGTGTTCGGGTGCTTTTGTTTTTACCGCCTGTCACATATGTCATGAGCAAAGAAGTCAAGAAGTCTCGTATTTCCCAACATTTGCTTATTAGCGTAGGTACTTGAAGGACCAAGGTTGTGTGGGAAACACATAGCTATAGCTCGCTGCTTGTTCTGCCCCGCCCCTTTTATGACGTGCTAATGGGCGGTAAATATTTTGTAAGCTTCATTGATTTTCAAGCACTCAAGTGGGTCATGTGAAACGAGGAAGCCAAGTGAAGTGCAAGTCGAATGATAAATGAATATTTAAAAAAAAAAAAAAACAAGAAACAATCAATGCAATTGATAACAAGTTTAGTGGCTATATAATAAACGCATTATTAACTGGCGTATTACATCCTTATTTAACCTAAAACACTTCCTGTATAATTAATTTGCAATCAATGCTCACCAAAAAAACTAAACCTGATCCTAATTTAACCACCCATATACGCAAAGAAATTAATAATTAATACTAAAATATGTCGCTTCTTTGGCGACGGGAAAACTCGTTGCTTTTCCGCCAAATGAAAATGAAAAACTGGTCAAGCGGTGGTGAGTGACATTTTCCAAAGCGGCGAAAACAACTTTTGGCAGCTCTCGACCACTTTTGTGCTCAATAAACGCCTAGAGAGTGAAATCTTGGCGGGGAAAACAAGTGGCTGGAACATGTGGCCCGTGAGATTTATCAGTAGGTCTCCTGGCAGGCGGTATCATCATCATCATTAACCACGACAGTCCTTTGTCATTTTTATCAGACACAAAAGACCAAGAGATCCTTGGGAGGCCCACTCCCACACTTTATGATAAATGAAATATTTGCAGGAGGCCAACCAAACTTTTGTTGTCCATTGAAGGCAACCAAAAAAAGGAGTGAGAAGCCTCTATCATTATAGTAATTTTCGAACAAAACACGCACGACTTTGGTTTCTGTTTGGACTGTGGCCAGAAATGCTCTTTGGCCAGCTGACCAACAGACACCATGTGTGATTGATTGTAATTGAGGTTGGGAAAAGTTGTTGGTGTCAATGTCAAGAGTGAAGCGAAATTGTTCCACACAAATGCCGTTTGACACTTTTGTGAAAGAGCCAAAGACCCGAAAAGCATTCTTCAAAGTTTTCCAAAGAATCAGATGCTTTTTGCCATTAGTCAGCGAAATTTATATGACACAATAGGAATTTCTCAAACGGAAAATGGTAACGAATATATGAAAGGGATTTTTCCTAATTTAAGAAATTTAATGGGGAATCTGGAGCGTCTGCAGGCTAACCCAATTATATTTCTAGTTTTTTGTAAAGTTTTGTAATTACCTCAGCTGAGAGTTTCCCCTTTGACCCTCTTCACAGCAGTTAAGCGAAATGTAGACTCGTCTAATTAACACAGAAACCCAAGTAAGCCCCGGCCAAACTAAATAAACAAAAAAATAATTTATACCGGGCCATTAAAGCCCGAAAAAAATGTATATAAACTAAAGACAGAGTGTTCAACTTGGTTTTCTTTTCGCCGGCTTTGCCAGCAATTTCACTTGCGAAAGCGCGCAGAGAAATGCTATAGAGCTAGATTTTGTGTCTCGAAATTGAAGTTGAATTCGGAGTTGGATAGCATTTCGTAATGGTCGGCGGGCAAGAAGCTCAAATGCACATTAACACATCTCGAAATGGGTTCAAAGACATTGCCAAATTATGGAATATAAACAAAACAAAGTCTTGGGAAAGTTTTTCGAGGGCTATCTCGGGAAATG